AGCTCTTCTAGTTTAAATGCATTTTACCAATCCCCGGCCATTTTGATCACAAGCAATGTTGCCTTATATCATAATGGACCCTCCACCTATGGCTAGTTTCTGGGGAAATAAAGCTAGAAGGCTAAGTCCATTATATCATAATGGACCCTCCACCTATGGCTAGTTTCTGGGGAAATAAAGCTAGAAGGCTAACCAAAAGTCAAATTTTCAGGCAAAATAGAAAAGGGTAATAACTCCTCACAAGTGTGAGCAATTATATTAGTCTCTTCAAAAGAGAGGGGAAAGGGAGGAAGGAAGAGAGAAAAGAAAACTTGAAATGATAGTCTTATCAATAAACTCACCATCATTAGCTGCACCATCTGCTAGAAATATGTAGTAGCTTGTGTTTAGACCAAATCTATTCTTAACCCCAGGAAGTGTAATATTTCTTCTGAAAGAACACTGCATAATACCATCCGCCAATCTCCAAGCCATATCCTCAAGAGTACCCTACAAACACACACAAAGGGTCTCCTCAGCACTTTCCAAAGATTTGCTAAAAATAAGACATGATCAAAATGTCCTGCCCTGCTCAATTTCCTTTCTCTAAATTATATGCATGTTTTGTCTACAGTGCCATTGCTTTTCCACTTCCACTTTGAAGAGAACAAGAAACATTTTCTTCTAATTAATTTGTCCTTTATCCCACTTGGCAAAAATATTACTTTTACTTTGAGCCAAAACCCCACAATTTCAGGCCAGCCCATGGCTCACTTGGGAGAGTGTGGTGCTGACAACAAGAAGTCAAGGGTTAAGATCCCCTTACTGGTCATCTTTTTAAAAAAAAAAACAAAAACCCACAATTTCGCTACCCAGGTTAGGAACTTTGGCAGATGTATTAACTCCATCTAGCCACTAGCACACAATCAAAAACATTGCAGAAACAATTAACCAGTAATACCCTAGTGGCCAAAATGCAACACACCATGGGGAGAAGTTCCAGGCCAGCTGTGGGAGTCAACCCCACAGGAAACCTATGCACAGTTATGTCATTAAGTGATAGCTACTGCTCAATTAGAATTCATTTGCTGTGTCATTAAGTGATAGCTACTGCTCCTTCAGAGCTCCTTTGCTTGTCTATTGCCCTATGAAAAAGACACTTCTCTACCAGAAATAGCCCACCTTTTTTTGTTTGTTTGTTTGTTTGTGACCGGTAAGGGGACCAGAACCCTTGGCTTGGTGTCGCCTGCACCACGCTCAGCCAGTGAGCGCACCGGCCATACCCATATAGGATCTGAACCCGTGGCCTCGGCGCTCCAGCCGCTGCGCTCCCAGCGCTGCACTCTCCCGAGGGAGCCACAGGGCCGGCTTTGACCCAGATGCCAACAAATGGCACTTAAGACAACTGCCCAAGGCACCAGTCTTTGCCACGTGTGCTCTTCCTTCTCACTAGGCAGAAATTCTGTCACTAACATAAACTTCTTAAAAACTTGTCTGTACGCTTTTGAAAGGGGGCCGATGTTCTGACCATCTTAACAAACCATAAAACATCTTTTTGTAAGACGCAACAAAAAGGATTTAAGTGGCACAAGCAAGAATTTATCTTTTTCTAGAAAAGAAACTGGTCTCGAGCTTTCCAAAGTGTTGAAAAGCTTCCCAGGGGGAATGGCTGGTGAGCTAAGTTGGTCAGAGCACCGTGTTGCAACACTACGGACCAACGCCATGGGTTCAGATCTTCATACCAGCCAGTCACCAAAAAAATACATAAATAAAGATTCCCAGTGTCATTATGAGAGAGGAACACGGCTGCCAGGCCCAGTCTCCTGATAAGGCTGGGCTGCTAACTGTGGGCGTTGGAGACTAAACTTGCAGCACAGCCATAGTTCCCAGAATTTTCACACCTACCCTGGAGTCCATTACAGGGTGACTTCGTCCTGTCAAATGGGCAGGCTGTATGTGCACGGTCTGATCTTCACGAATGCACAGATAAGCATCATCATCACCCTGAAAATGGTTGCAAACGAAAAAAGCTTAAGGGAATTTCAGCATTTTGTTTTGTTTTTTTAAAGTCCCTAATGAAATCAAGTATTACCTGATGCTTTTAAAATACAATTACTGACTCAATCTTAGATGATATCATGAATTCTAGAGAACTAGTTGTCCAATTTGTTAATTAAAATGATTTTGTTATAATACAAAGGCACTAAAATTTCAGCGTAAAATAACAGATTAAGATAGACATATAAAATGTTTATATGTCCGTACACCCATCACCAGTTGAATACCACTATTAATGCTTTCGTGTATATTCATCCAACCTATTTGTATTTAAACTTATTTGTCCCTTCCCAGATGGGAAAATAAACAGTTTTGTTAACTTTTGTTCACTTAACTTACCATGAACATTGTTCCAGATATTTATTTATGAATATGTCCTACATGTTTTAATGACTTTGAATACATTGCATTATGTTCGATATTTTTTGGTAATTTTTAAGATGGAAGACACTGTAATCAAAAATTGCTACATATTGTTCATGCTCAATAGATTTAATGTTACATAATTGAGACAAAAATACCTGAGCTCAAGAAGGAATTTTTTGTCAGTCTAATTCTTATCTATCCTTTGGTCTCCAACATTCCTTAACTCTTCCTTAAAGTTAGATCTTACTCTTTAAAGTGATTATCAGAGGGCAGACTATAACTTCAAAGTACATGTAAGCAATGATACAAATGAATAATCTTGATTTTAAGTTATTGTCTATACTTTGGCCTTTCACTTATTTTCTCCACAAACTATTTAACAAGGTCTTTTATGGAGCTTAGTCACTATCTTAAATAAGATCCAATACTATCCAGTTCTAATAAATTTTGCTATAAATTCCAATAGGAAATTCTAACATATTTCTACACTTTCAGACTCAAATTGATTTTAAAATGTTCCACTTTTGAAACTCTCAAGGACATTACACTCTCAAGGACATACTCTTAGCAAAGCAATTATTCACTGCTACACGTCTTATAGTCAAATAAGAGTTAGCCCAACTTAAGATAAGAAATTTAGAACAGTCATGATTTAAACCAGGAATCAACAAACTATGGCCTGTAGACCATATTCAACCAGAAGCTTGTTTTTACACAGCTCATGAGCTAAGTAACAATGATTTCTACATAGTTAAATAGCTTTAAAAAATAATAAAAGAAGGGGCCGGCCCAGTGGCACACTGCTACAGTGCACCGCTTGAGAGCGCGGTGGCACTCCTGCTGAGGGTTCGGATCCCACATACAGACCGGTTCCCGCTCACTGGCTGAGCGAGGTGCGGACGCGACACCGAGGGTTGCGAACCCGTTGCCGGTCCCAGTCCGGTACGAGCGCGACACTGAGGGTTGCGATCCGTTGCCGGACATGAAAAAAGACAAAAAGGAAAAAAATAATAATAATAAAATAAAAGAAGAATACTTCATGACAAATGAAAATATATCAAATTCAAATTCAGTGTCCATAAATAATGTTTTGTTGGAACACGCAACACCCATTAATGTATACATTATCCATGGCTGTTTTTGCACTACAACAACAGAGTTGAGTAAATGAGACAGAGACCATATGTCCCACAAACTCTAAAATAGTTAATATCTGGGTTGGCCAGTTAGCTCAGTTGGTTAGGGCTTTGTGCTAAAAACACCAAGTTTCAGGGTTCAGTCTCTACATCAGTCAGCTGTTAAAAATAAAAATTATAAAATAGTTATTATCTGATCCTTTACAGAAAAAGTTTTCTGAGCCCTGATGTAAATAATGCATGTGAGACATAGGAATTCTTTTGTTATAAAAAAAAAAAAAAGTAGTACAACAAACTGTTTAATTTTGAGGCAAACTGATAAGAAGTCAACTATAATACTAAGTCAGTAAAGGCAGGTGATCCAAGTATTCACAAAGCTGATGGGAACAGAGAACAGGTAACTCTCAGTTGTCATTATTCTAAATGAAGAGTAAGAGAGGGTGTTACTACAATCTTAGGCTCCAAGCAGTAGAAACTTCACGTTTGGAGCATGGAAGCTCACAACATAAGAAGTTCCACCAATTCCTTGGGTTGGACTGGAGCTGTCTCTCCAGCTTGCCCCTCTCAGCAAGCCTTTAGAATGCACACCATGAGAAAACACTGTGCTGGATATGAGGAGAGATAAAGGTGAGTAGAACCTGGTTCTTACAGGTAAAGCATGTGTTTTAATGGAGGCAATAGACAGTTAAAATAGTACAATAGATGAAATATGATAAAATAGAGATTTAGGCAAAGTACAATGAAAAGACAAATTATGTATGACCAGAGAATTGAAAAAGGCCTATTGGAGAAAACAGCAACTAAGCAGACTTTGGAGAATAAAACATATTTATATCAGAATAAGATAGAGCTGGAATTAAAGGAAAGGTTTTCTATGCCTGAGAACTTCCAGGACCAAACATACAGAAATATGAAAATTTTAGGAAACAGATAGTCTTGTCAGCTAAAATACATAAAGGGTACAGAGAGAGCTCTAAGGCTGGAAATTCCAGCAGGTATTTCCGAGACTTTGAAGCGTATTGAGAGCCATGCTAAAGAAAAGGAACAATTTTTCTATAACTACCAAAGGTTCACCAAAGGTTTTTGAGGATATTTTTTAGATGATCTCAACTGTGGCTTAGGAAGAGAATTCCAATGGCTGCATGAAGGATGAAACAGAGAAGGAAAACCATGGAAGTAAGTAGACCAGAGAGGGGTTATTGCAGCTGTCCAGAAACAATAAAAGTACAAGCCAGGACAGAGACAGTGACCATGAAATAACAGGCAGGAAAGAAGTATCCAAAGATAGAGTAGACAGTACCTGGGAGAGCAGTAACCGTGAACATATGAGCACCCAAATCTCAATTTCTAAATACTTTTCTTACTAAAGGGAAATGAAGCTCCTTTGAGAAATGATGAAATGCATGAAAGGAGGAGTGAAGAACATCTTGTTACAACAGAAAAAAAGGACATGCTCAAAAACTGATGGAGACACATGGGCACAGAAGCCAACACCAAGGTCAAGGGTTTGGATCCCCTTACTGGCAAGCTACAAAAAAAAAAAAAATACAGCTTGAAGGGCTCCCATTGGCCACATTTGGGTCAATATGACCATCTAAACGTTTATTGTGTTAATAAAGTACAACGCAATGGACAAGAGGAACCCTTTAATGCATAGTGTTACTCCAAAAGGGGAGGGGAGGTACAAAGAAAAGAAAGCTCTTCTTTTCAGAAGAATGTCAGCTAATACGTAAGTCAGAAAATCACCATGTTGCAACCACGAATGTAATAGTTGATTCAGATGAGGAACATCAATAAATCATCAAACCATTTGGTAACAGGTTATTGGGGAACAGACTATTCATACCGACTCAAAGTATCATCTCACATATTACTTATTAATTACAAAGAGAAAATATACCTTCACAATGGAGAAATCTGACAGACACCAGTGATCAATCAATTCGACATTCTGAACCTTTTGATATGATGCACTGATGTGGAAACAACATCCCTTATGTAGTATTTATGCCAAAAATCTTAACTTGAATCTACTGCATAAATTATAGAACATTCTACAAAACCACTGGCCTGAAAAAAAAAAATCAAGAAAAAAGGGTAGAGTAACTTTTCTAAAGTAAAGGAGATCAAAGAGATACACCAACTAAATGCACTGAGTCATAACTAATTGGATCCTGGATCAAAAATTAAAAAAAAAAAAAAGAAAGAAAAAGTTATAAAGGACTTTATTGGTACAGTTGGGGAAATTGGAATATAGACTGTATATTGCATAAAATTAGGCAATCATTGTTAAATTTTCTCAACGTGATAAAGATATTGTGGTAATTTAAGAGAATGTCCTTGTTCTTAAGAGATACATGCTGAAAACTTTAGGGATGAAATGTCATGATATCTACAACTTACTTCCAAATAGTTCAGGAAAAATTGTGTGTTTATATACACCACGTAAATCACCTGAGATAGACACATCAATAGATAGATAGAGATAGAGAGACAGACAGAGAGAAAGATAAAGCAGCAAATCTAGGTGAAGGGGTTATGGGTTTTCGTTATACTGTTCTTTCAATATTTATGTAGGTTTAAAATTTTTCAGGGCCGGACCGGTGGCGCACTGCTACAGTGCGCCGCTTGGGAGCGTGGCGCTCCAAGGGTTCGGATCCCACATACAGACCGGCCACTCACTGGCTGAGCGAGGTGCGGGCGCAGCACCGAGGGTTGCGATCCCGTTGCCGGTCCCGGTCCGGTACGGGCGCGACACTGAGGGTTGCGATCCATTGCCGGTCACGAAAAAAGACAAAAAGGAAAAAAAAAAAAAATTTTTCAAAACCAAAAGTTGGAAGTGGGAGGAAGAAGGTCCTAAGAGATAATTAAAAGGGAGGAATCTAAGTCAAACCAAAATTTCTCTGATTAGCAGGGAAAACGGTGGCAGTAATAAGTGAGATATTCTATGAATGGCCTAAGACATTCTTAACAAGAAGCAAGCAAGCAATAACAGTAGCTGCCTTTTAGTATCGCTGTTGATCACCAAGAAAGGAGAACACAAGGAGACTTTCGGAGGGAAGGTAAGTTCAGTTTTATAGATGCTGCTTTGCATTGTCCAGGAACTTCATCTGGATAAGACCGGCCAGCAGCTGGAAATCACAATCTGGAGTTCGAGAGGTCAGGACTAGGCATACACTAGTTTGGGGCATTGGGGGATTACGTATGGAGCAAGATGATACAGAGAAGGGGAAGGAAAAGGATGAAAACTAGTAATGTATATGCTTCATAGACTTTATGTTATTTAACAAAATCTCTCAGATAGGGAAGATGTATATACCCAGAAATTCAGTCAAAATTCAGACATTATCAAGTCATTGTGAGCAAAAATATGGAAAATTACTTTTCATCAATTTAAGTGATGAGGTCTAATACCAAAACAATTGCTATCATTACTTTGCAAGCTAAATTGGGGAAAAAAGGTATAATTTAGGTTACCTAATCAGTATTCATAACTTCAGATACCTTCAGTATTTAAATTTACATTATATACTCAAAAGAAATAGCAGGTCATAAAAATACCCTAAAAATGTAAAAATAACAACCAAAAATAGAAATAACCACTTTAAAAATATTTTTTGAGGATGAATCATTTCCCCCAATCTAGGCAAACAGGTGTACAGATGATTTTAATCATTAAAACAGGATTGCTCTGTAAATCAACTGCACCTGCATAATTAAGTCTTTTTTATAAACATTTTTGATGAGTACTATACTAGAAACATAATATTTCTGAGTAAGATAAATATATCTTGAATTAGAGATAAATGCTTTTGTGCCATCTATGTCTACAATTTAGAACAGAAATAACTGGCCTACCTATAGGCCACTCATCCCCACACTCCGTGCAATTATAGTGTCCTTCCCTCTTGGTGACAGATTTTACGTGACCAGTAAAAGGAAATGTGTTAGTAATAGTGTACTGCAGCATGAATCTTGGCTATAACGCGACTGGCATAAGTTGGGTTTTTTTTAAGTGACTAGAGCATATCTAAATGAGAGCTGCACCTCAGAGACAAAGTCTAATGCAACTATACATTTCTTCAATAAGGCCACCTTGTTAATCCTTTCTGGACTCGTCTTCAGAATTTCTTTCATAGCCATTTTTCTCACGTTCACACAACCAGCACTACTACCTTTCATCATTGCTTTATATAGTCACATTTTATTTTTAACCCAGCCTCATTATTCACCTCATGCACCAAAGCTGGTTCATTTTTGCCAGCACTGAGAATACCCAAAAGAATATGCTACAGGTATGATGGCAATTACAAAGGAAGTGGGGAAAGTGTTTCAAACAATTACAGCATTATTTGAGCAAGTATAAAATTTCCCATAAAAGCAACTTTGAAGGGGAGAAATTCATAATTTCTACTGTTATTTTTAAAGCACATGACTTGTGTTGTATCTCGTAGATGTAAGGTATATACTTTGCTTAATGAAAGAAGACAGCAAGTGCATTCTACAGGTACATAGGAAAATACGTAGACCATATGTATATAATGAAATGTCATCCCCCTAAAAGGAGTTACCCCTGGCTCCCTGTGATGCTTGTAACCAGTCCACCAGGACCAATGTGATCAGAGAGCACTTTCAGGGAAAACTTTAGTTCTATCACAGCCATCTCAGACTTCCTTTTCTTTTCTTTTTCTTTTTCTTTTTTTTTTTTTTTGAAATATGTTTCCCCAAAGAAGCAGTATTAAGTTTCAATCCTGATAGGAAGAAAACTCAAGAAATGTCTCCTTGTCCTTGCCAATGTGGAAATAAGGAGCTTTCTCCATTTGTGGTCATCCCCACTCCCCACCACCAACTCTCCTTAAACAAGACTTACATATGTCCTGGCCACAATATTCTTTTTCCTTCTCCCTGGGAAGCC